TAATTCTTTTGACTTGCTGCCAATTTCTACTAATCAAAATGGAAAAGATATGCACTGTTTGGATTGTACCTAAAAATAGTGCGACTGTCACATCAGCAAGTGGAATTAAATTAATTTCTCGTTCTTCCCCTGCACATACACCCTCCACATTATTTAAACTTCTATCTAGAATATTGCCCCTGAATCACGTCCTTTGGAGTTTAATATACCCCAAATTTCGATGAGAACTTTACTGAGCTATTTTGTGAGGAATACACATATCTCTTCTGAAATTTCCATTCTTTACCCTGTTCTCATTTAACGGATCTCTACTATATAAATAGCCTTTATAATGCAATCAAAGAGCTTATTAGTACTGTAAGGAGTGATGCCTTGTGGATTCATTTTTCTTTCAGAGGAGGAGGCAGACAGTTTCTAACTGAATCAGATTCTGTTGCTTGATGAAGCAGTGAGTTGTTCTGGTTGTCAGGTGCTGTTGAGTCGATTCCAACTCACTGTGACCACGCATATCACCGAACGAAAACACTTCCCGGTCCTACGCCATCCTCACAATTGTTGCTACGTTTGAGTCCATTGTTGCAGGCACTATGTCCACCCATGTCATTGAGGGTCTTCCTCTTGTACAATGACCCTCTCATGGTGGTCAAATCATGGTGTCCTTCTCCAGGGACGGATCCCTCCTGATAACATATCCAAAGCACATGAGCAATTACATAGGCCTACAGAAGCATGTGCGGTAAGGGCAGATTGACCCATGGAGACAGCAGCTCATACTGCAGGTTACCACTTCAGAGTGTAGCCTTTGCAGTAATAGTATCTTGGCTCCCAGAAAGCATTGGAAGTCACCGCCTAGCCCCTTTAAACCTTGATCTTCATTAGAATGTTGAATAAACATCACTCGGAACGTGTCCCTGCCTTCTGTCCCTGAAGCCGGTGGTGTGTCCTTAAAACCACCATAATGGACTGATCGCCCTTCCTTTCAGCATGCCTTCCATATTTGAATGAAGTAAAAACATTTAGAACACCTAATTCTGAATTCTTTTTTCTTAGTGGCATTGTCGCTGATATGTACTGCAGAGTCAATTCCAGCTCGGTGATCCCATGCAAAACCAAACTAGAAGCTTCCCAGCACCGTGCCAGGCTCACGATTGTTTCCATGTGTTATAACTACTCTGCCATTCCAGCTCATTAAGGGTCTTCCTTTTTCTGCTGACTTTCGACCAAGCAGTATTCATTTCCTAATTCTCAGAAGCTCTATTTCACCATCTTTCGATGCTAACAATTCCTTTTTCTCCTCACTCCACATTCCCTTGCTCCTAGACGTTAATTAGTATTAGTGAGATCACACTGTTTTCTTCCTGTTTGTGACACAAAAGTACCCACCTATGATGCCTTTTAAATGTCTTCAGTTTGGATTTCTTCCTAGGAATTTATGGAGTGCTCATAATCATGTGACAACTGGAGGCAGAAAACATTAAAAATTATTGTATATACTTTTCCTAGAAAAGGTCTTCATGTTGAATGTAATGTTTGGGGGCCATGGGAACATCTTAAGAGGATTTATTTTTCTGACACTTGTCAGTTTTTCACTATGTGACCTTGTTGGTCTTTCAGCATCCTGACTTCAAAAGGTAACATTGGTTGTTCCACCTTCGGGTGTTGGTAGTTTTCCTAGTCATGGTTAGCCTAGTTGGCTGGTGGGCATTGTGGATAAAGCTCTAAGGCAGCAGAAAACTTGTTCAAACACATGGCTCACTTTGGCCCTGCTCACTCTTTCTCTAAATGTAGTTCTCGCAGAGCCAAATGACCTTGGGCAAGTCAGTTGATTTCCCTGAGACTCAAGTTCACCTCCCACAAAGCCCCATCCCTAGCCTTTGTTTGAAAAGCCCTTTGAGATTCTCTGATGGAAGGCTTTCTTACTTTACAAAGTCTATCATTTCCAATACTTCCTCCTGACCTTCTTTTCCCTCTGCTTGCAACCCCACCCACAAAAAAATCCCTCTATTTTTTTAAGTGAAAAGAATAACTAAGAATAGCGAAAATACATACAATACCCCATGCATCCAAACAAACAGTCCTTCATTTTACATTGCACTTAAAATTCCACAGAAACCACAGCTAAATCAAATCTTCTTTCCAAACATCGGATTAAAAAACCTGTTTGCTGTGTGCTGGACAAAAGTAGTTCTTTAATGATTCTTAACCCACAACCACTTTGAGAAAAAATTAAGTCAATTTGGGAAGTTACTCAACTCTACAGTTCTGCATTGAATTGTAAACAATAAAAGCAACTATCTAGATTCTTCTCTTTTTCTTGGAATAGCAGTTCTGAGATGGAAAGCGCAAAGAGCAATGGGAATTTGTATTTTTTGCTTACCTCTCTTTTACAGCTTGGAGAGTATCAGATTTCTTTGTTCCCAACTTAATAAACAGTGACAAATCTACGGGAACTTTACTGACTTAAAATATCTATTATGTTATCTACAGGAACTCACCTGCAGTTTTGAGGGCCTTGTTAAAAATGCTTTTAAAAAGTATATATTAATAGATGTTCCCATGACATTTTCTGCACTTCAGGGATTTTTTTTTTTTTTTTTCCCAAATGATTATAAGTAACATTTTTGCAAGATGCTCATTTTAAAGACCTCATTATGCTTTAAAGATCCTTGGATCAATCCTGAGATAATGCTTTTTGTTTTATTTTTGCTTAAAATAGGCATACTTAAGCAAAACTTGAGTAACTTAGAAAATTCCAGAATCCTTAGCACGAGAAGAGCCTTGATATGTCTAGAAATTACCCCTATCTTCATGTAAGAAGTGCTGGTAGCGAAGTGATCAAGTATGGGGCTGCTAACTGAAAGGTCGGTGGCTCAAACCCACCAGCCAATCCTCTTCGTGGGGGAAATATGAGGTCATCTTACTTCTGTAAAGATTTGTTGTTGTTGTGTGCTATGGAGTCGGTTCCGATTCATAGTGAGCCTGTACAGGGTTTCCGAGGCTGTAAATCTTTATAGGAGCAGAAAGCTTCATCTTTCTCCCGCGGAACAGCTGGTAGTTTCGAACTGCTGACCTTGAGGTTCGCAGCCTGATTTGTAACCACTAAGCTACCAGAGCTCCTCCGAAATCCACTGGAGCAGTCCTTTGTCCTTTAGAGTCACCGTGAGTCAGTGCTTCATGGAAGTCCATACCTAGATCCACACAGGTCACCGAGACTGATGAGGTTCAACTTACGATTTAAAGGCCTAATCTACCTTTTTCTTTTCTTTATTTAGTTTTTTGTTTATGAGCACAAACACATTTATTTACTAATCAAAGGTATGATCCTAATTAAATGAACACTTTGAAACAATTGCATGTAAATGTCTGTGAGAGAAATAATTGAACACAGTAATGGAAAACAAAAACAAAAAACAAAGTTTTGTGGAGATTTGCTCACTGAACTGAGCTTGTTCATTCTCACAGCTAATTCTTATTCAAAGTAAAGATAGAATTTTTATTCTACTTTTTCTTGGTCCAAGTACAGGTGACATTGTTCATAACACATTCCACAATTAATTTCCCATTTTCCAGTTTTCTTGTTATTGTGTCTTCCTTTCCATCCCACTCCTGTTGTTGAACCAAAGCACCATGTGTAAAGTTGCAGACAGTCTTGAGTTTTCCTGCCATCAGCTGGAGTTTGTTCAAGCTTTTCTCCCAGGCTACGAGAAACCTGGGTTGTTTTCAAAGTGCTTTCGCTTGTGACGGTGAGGGTTTTGCCATCAATAGTGATGATACAATCAGGTTTGGCCATTGTGCCCATTTTTCGCAGAGTCATGCCCACTCCTATTTCCTTCATGTAGTCACCAAAGCCTTTGCTGTCTACCAGACGCCATCTTCCTACCAGCTGCTGAATGGTAGCCATGGTGGGCGCAGATAGGTGGATGTGCAGAGCGATCTGGGAGGGTCTGGCGGGAGAGCGTGGCGGTGAATGTTTATCATTATTATCAGTGAATGTTTCCTTTGTTGTTTGTTGTTAGGTGGCATCAAGTTGATACCGACTCATAGTGACCCTATGCACAGCAGAACAAACTCTGCCCAGTTCTGGACCAACCTCACAATTGTTGCCATGCTTGAACCCATTGATGCTGCCACTTTTCCAATCCATCTCGCTGGGGGTCTTCCTATTTTTCTCTGATCCTCCACCTTACCAAACATGATATCCTTCTTCCAGCTACTGGTCCCTCCTGATAATATGTCAGAAGTATAAGAGACGAAGTTTAGCCATTCTGACCTCCAAAGAGCACTCTGGCTGCACTTCTTCCAAAACGGATCTATTGGTTCTTCTGGGAGCCCATGGCACTTTCAATATTCTCCTCCAACACCATAACTCAAAAGCATCAATTCTTCTCCGGTCTTACTTATTCACTGTCCAGGTTTCAAATGCATATGAGGTTATTGAAAATACCATGGCTTGGGTCAGGCGCACCTTAGTCCTTAAGCTGACATCTTTGCTCCTCAACACTTGAAAAAGGTCTTGTGCAGCAGATTTGCCTAATGCGACACGTCGTTTGATTTCTTGACTGCTACTTTGCTAACCCAAATTCTGCATGCACACTGTTTGGAAGCATGACTGATTTCAGTACAATCTGAAAACTGATGACTGAGCTACCAAAAAAATTTTTTTTCTAATAGTAGTATATAAGAAGCAGAGATACCCCACCTCAGCTTCCTAGACACTAACTCCATTTACTCTTATTATAAGCAACGTCTAAACCTCTCAATCTTTCTGGTATTCAAATGGGAACATCTCCAAATGACAGGGATTCCTCCCAGCTGTAGACTAGAAGGAAACCCAACACCGTACAAAGTGTCAGGTGTGGCGTCTGGCTTTGTGGCATCAGCATTCTTTTTGGTATTAAGCTGCTAATTTTTTTTCAACATCACCCAAGCCATAAACTCTTAAGATTATGAAAGAAAATCCTGTGAGCAGTGACAACACGTACTGTTACTGTTGTTATTGTTAAGTGCCGTTGTGCTAGTTCTGTGACACGGTACAAAGTTTCCAAGTTTGTACAGCTTTGCAGGAACAGAAAGCCTACTGTTCCTTCAGAGGAGCTGCTGGTGGACTCGAATCATCAATCTTATGGTTTGTAGCCCAGTGCTTACCACATAGAGCCACCACACTCCTAACCAAGTGAACTATGAAATTAATAAATCAGTATTTATTACTACAGTATTGTAAAATAGCCACCTGCAAACAGATCAAGCAAACTTTTCAAATTTTTCCCAAGTCATTTGGGAGGGTCCCTTCCTATATTTTTACAACTCGCTTCAAACCTTTGCGGTTTGTTAATATGCCTAAAAGGACCGATAAACTATACCTCTTCTTTTTTTTTTTTTTTTACGTTAGGTATATTTGGAAGACATGTAGGAAACTTAGCTATTTAGAGGGTTCCTGTGATTAATCAAGATATGATTATACGTACAAGCATTATTTACTCTATACCAGGAGTCCTTGGGTGGTACAAAGCATTAACATTCAGTTGCTAGCCAAATGGTTGGTGGTTTGAGTCTACCCAGATTCACCTCAGAAGAAAGGCCTGATGATCTAGATCCAAAAATCAACCCCTGAAGCCCTCTGGAACATAAAGAGCAACGGGAGATTGTATTTTTTGCTTCTACTATGGAAGAAGTGCAACCAGAGTGCTCCTTGGAGGCCAGGATGGCCAAACTTCATCTCTCATACTTCAGACATATTGTCAGGAGGGACCAGTCGCTGGAGAAGGATATCATGTTTGGTAAGGTGGAGGGTCAGAGAAAAAGAGGAAGACCCCCAACGTGATGGATTGGCCAACTGGCAGCATCGATGGACTCAAGCGTGGCAACAGTAGTGAGGTTGGCCCAGGATCAGGCAGTGTTTCATTCTGCTATGCATAATAAGGTCACTATGAGTGGGTGCCAACCGATGGCACCTAACAACAACATGACAAACATGGGGTTGTCTTAAGTTGACATCCACGCCACAAGTACCGGTTAGGTTTTGGTTTTGCTGTATTGGAAAGCTTCAAAAAGCTTCATGGAAAAATGGAACTGAAAGATAATGGGATTTTTTCCATGAACATTTTGAACCATCCCCCATACTGAGTAAATGAACTGTGTGGGATGATACAATTATAAGACTGAGCCTGTTCCCCGGATACTGATACTGTCACGTGGGGAAATTAGACATCCATGTGTAAGGAAATGAGACAGGTGTCATTGAGCATGAGCCACAAAATAAAAGGTCTAGACTAGAACTGCCCAACAGAAATAGAATGCAAGACATGTATTTAAATTGTCGTGTAGCTTTTTATTGTGAATTGAGTGGTTTTTAGACAAAACCATCCATTTTCATTTAACAAACCATATACTTCATTTTAAATTGTACAGTGTTCTTGTTGTTGTTGAGTGCCATTGAGTGGGTTCTGACTCATAGTGATACTGTATAGGGTTTCCAAGGAGCGGTTGGTGGGTTTGAACCTCCAGCCTTGTGATTAGCAGTATTTACCCTACAGTGCCACATCAGGGCTACTAGCACATTAAAAAAAGAAAACATTCAAATGAACAGATGAAATGTTCATTATTTCAACATGTAACCACTGTAAAACATTACCAATACACTATTTTTCTGTTCTCTTTTGTGGTACTAAATGTTTGAACTCCTCTGTGTAACTTACAGCCCATCTCAATTGGGTCTCTACACAGCAAGTCGATGGGATATAACACTCTATTTCCTTTTGTAAATCCAGATTTTTACAATCATGCATAAAGAACAGTATCTCGAAGACATATGCTCAGCCTCAAATTGAGGCTTCTATAAAACAGCCTCTGCTACAACGGGGTCCTTTTCCAAATCTATCTAAGAAATGAGTTTGCTTAGAGCAATGACACCTGAACCACTGGAATTCTGTTATTTAGCAACAAATTCAATGAACAGCAAGGTTGGCTCTGCTGTCTGGAAATGTACATCATTATTATTTTTAAATAGATACTTCACAGAAAAAAATACGGGGCTACTTGTTCCATTTTTGTAGTTGCCAATGTATAAAATATTTCATTTATTTGTCATTATTGTTGTATTCTAAATGTGATTCTGAGTCTCGCATTTCTGACTGGGAGGTCTAGAGCCATTTTTCTTACTAGACTCTATAGGACAATAAAAGCCCTTTTTCTCTACCCTCAATGTTCTAGCTGTATTCCAAGAGTCAGCAGAGCTAAAGCATCAGATTCTGCTAACATTGTGTGACTTTCTCATTTTGTCTCTCTACTTCTATACAGTAAGGATTGACAGTATGTCTATTTCAAACCTATTTGGAGCACACCAACATCACAGCCTTCCAAATGTTACCTTTTCCACTGCCACATCAAATAACTTCATAATCGTTCATTCCAATCTTAACTCAGGAAATAGAGTTCATGTTGACTCTTTCGCTCTCTCATGGGAAATGATGCCTTTTGACAAAATATTAGGACTTCTTCTGGTGATTTTTTACTGAATGTTCTCAGTCATGCAGAATTCATTTGTTAAAACATTCAACTGTTATTACATCACCTGGGTTTTTGTTTGCAAGGAACTCAGTGTTGACGGCTCAGATTGGAAAGGCTGAGACTGGTACTGAGGCTGAGGAGAACTTCAAGCTTCACCTAACTCTGGGGTTTATGCAAAGAGCCCTGGTGGTACTGTGGTTAAGTGCTTGCCTGTGAACTGGAAGGTCAGTGGTTCAAACCCACCAGTAATTCCCCAGAAGAAAGATGGATGTGACTGTCTTGTCTGCTTATGTAAATGAAGACTGCAGCCTGGGAAACCCTGTGGGGCAGCTTTAATCTCTCCTATAGGATCATTATGCATTAGTGGGTTGGCTTTATACACTCAGAAATCTGCTCTGGTAACAATGGGTTTCTTTAGGTCAGCTCCTGAGATGGTATAAAGTCAGGAAACCAGTTTCATAATCTACAATGTCATTGTTACAGGCTGGGCATGACTGGGCATTCTTTCTCTATACCCGGGGAAGATAATTACAACCAAAAGTCTGCTTAGCAAGCATGGAATGAGAACAGGGAAGTTGGTGGCAAATTTTAACGTTAAGGGCATCAGAAAAACGTATTGAATTACTGGGATAACAATACTAGAAATCCACTGTAAAGTCTGCTTTTCCCCCCTCACAACACTGGCAACATTTGATTGTTGAGACTTCTTCTTTCACCAGTCGGCACTTCCTGCCCACTCTACTGCCACTCAGGGAAAGACAGTCTTCCTGTATATTAGTTAAAACAGTCTAATCAGGTCGCAGCTAAGTCTCGGTGGCCTGTCTCTGCTCTGAGCCACCATTTTTAAGTCAATGGAGGGCTGCGAGTGGGGAGGGTACCATACTGCCTCCTCTCATCCCCACAGCACATTTCCTATATAAAAGTTGGTTTGATTTCTCTACTAAGGGAATCTGAGTATTTGATTCTGTTGTTTTTGCAAATGGAAATAGCATTCAATGAGTCTAGCTAGCCATTCAAATCTTGCTCAGAATTTGCACATCACATGAATTCGAACTCTACATGCATTTTCCTGATGTATGTTGCAGAAACATCTCAGTCAAGAATGCCTCTAAGGACTAGAGAGCTGAGACTGAAGTGTCCAGCTGATATGAAGTAAGGGGAGATGCACAAGAATGCCCAAATTTGCACAAACTACCCATTTTACCTAGCTTTGATGGCTGGATGACCAGAACTCCACTAGAGGAAGATAAAAAAAATTTTTTTGATAAAGGAAACAAGTGTAAATTGCTACAATTTGATGAACTTGGCCTATACTTTTGGATGTAGTAGCTCAAAATACCAACTCAGAGGGAAGGAATCTTCATATCAAGGATCATTCCCATCCCCTCGGTACACAGGGTTGATAGGGAT